AGCAGCCGCCGCGGGCCCGGCCGGGCAGGAGCAGCCCGAGGAGCGATGCAGGAAGGTGAGCGGCCGCGGGGCCATGGGCAGTGAGCACCGAGCAGCTGGGAGAGCACCCCGAGGAGCCCCGTGGCATCTATTTCCACACCCACCTGTCCGTACACCGACCTTCCTCTCCATGTACCCACCTGTCTGTCTATCCACCCCCATCTGTTCACCTGTCCCGTCCATCCATCCACTTGCCCTCCATCCACTGACCCTCCCCTCCATGTACCCACCTATCTGTCTATCCACCCCCATCTGTTCACCTGTCCCGTCCATCCATCCACTTGCCCTCCATCCACTGACCCTCCCCTCCATGTACCCACCTATCTGTCTATCCACCCCCATCTGTTCACCTGTCCCGTCCATCCATCCACTTGCCCTCCATCCACTGACCCTCCCCTCCATGTACCCACCTATCTGTCTATCCACCCCCATCTGTTCACCTGTCCCGTCCATCCATCCACTTGCCCTCCATCCACTGACCCTCCCCTCCATGTACCCACCTATCTGTCTATCCACCCCCATCTCTTCACCTGTCCCGTCCATTCATCCACCCATGTCTGTCTATCCACCCCCATCTGTTCACCTGTCCCGTCCATCCATCCACTTGCCCTCCATCCACTGACCCTCCCCTCCATGTACCCACCTATCTGTCTATCCACCCCCATCTGTTCACCTGTCCCGTCCATCCATCCACTTGCCCTCCATCCACTGACCCTCCTCTCCATGTACCCACTCACCCATCCATCCATTCACCTATCCACCCATCCCATCCATCCATCCATCCATCCACCCATCTGTCCCTCCATCCACTCACCCTCCATCCATGGACTCTCCTGTCCATGTACCCACCCACCCACTCATCCATCCATCCACCCACTCACCCATCCATCCATTGACCCACCTGTCCGTGTGCCCACCCACCCATTCATCCATTCACCCACCTGTCCATCCACTCACCCTCAATCCATGGACCCTCCTGTCCACATACCCACCCACCCGTCCATCCGTCCACCCATCTGTCCACCCACCCATCCCTCCATCCATCCTTCCATCTATTCACCAGGCACAGAAGCATCCCAGTTCTTCCAAACCTCCCTTCCTGCTGGGGTGGGTGCCTCTCTGGAAGCCCAGCATTCCTGGCTGGGTGGGAGTGAGCCCTTGGGCTGTGCCTGTGGTGTTGTTTCTACCTCCACACGCTGTCTCCCCACAGCCATTGTGATCACTGAGCAGCCGGTGTCCGTCTCTGTCCCGGTGGGATACTCCTTCACGCTGAGGTGCCGAGCTGAGGGACACACCTTGCTACAGTACCAGTGGTTCTGTCAGCACCAGGTAAGGATGGCAGCAGAGTGGCCCTGGGTATGGCACCTGGCTGTGTTCCTGTACATGGTGGGAGAGGAATCAGGAATTTCCACTTTTACTGCTCTTACAAGGTACTTCCTAGTGCCTTCTGCTGCCAGCAGTGAGAGGGAATTGGTACCCACTGCCTGTGCTTTCCCTTTAGTCTGAGTGCTGCCAGATTCCTGGAGCTACCAACCAAGACTTGCCCATCATTGCAGAGCAGACCCAGCTCTACACCTGCAGAGTCAATGACCTCAGCAGAAATGCTGTCTTCTCCAACTGGGTGAAGGTGGAGGTCCATCAGTGTGTTGCCAGAGGTACAAGCATATCTTCTGCCTTCTTCATGTATCATGGAGTCACAGGGTGGTTTGGGTTGAAGGGACCTTGCAGTTCATCTTGTTCCACCCTCTGCCATGGGCAGGGACACCTTCCACCAGACCAGGTTGCTCCAAGCCCTGTCCAGCCTGGTTTGTACCTGCACCTCCTACTGGTCACTCACCGTGGGTTTCCCAGAGTTACTCTGGATGTGGAACTGGAAGAGCCCATCTGGCTATTTGAAAGCTGACCAAAAATAACTCAGGGTGTGGTTGGCCGCAGCATGTTGACTGCGCCCTTCGCAGCAAAGGGCAAAGGCAATTTAGGAGGCCAGAGGCAGGGCTTTGGTGTGGCACTTACTGTAGCAGGTGTTGCTCCCAAGGATTCCCTGCTCCCAAAGCAGGAAGGTGCCGCAGTGACAGTGAAAAATGGCCATTGTTTAAGGACCAATTCTGTGTCACTGCCTTGCAGGTTTGCCCCCTCGGCTGTGGCGAGGAGAGCCTGTCATTGTCCTCAACCCCACGGAGCAGCAGGTGGAGCTGGGGAAGCCACTACAGCTGCAGTGTGCTGCCATGGGGGTCCCAGCCCCCAGCTACCAGTGGTACCGCAATGGGAACCTGCTGGAACGGCACAAGAGCAAAAAACTCCGGGTAAAGTTGTCTGGTGATGTTTCAGAAGCTTTGGCTGCTGAGGTGAGGGATGGGAGAAGCTGATTGTGAGAAAGTCCTCCACGTATTACCTTGCTGCTTGGAGAGCTGTCTGGAGGGCTCTGGGTGAAGAGGGAATATGTTTCATGGGCTTCTTTCAAAGCTGTGGATGTTCCTCTAAGAGGTAACTGATCCATAGATGCATCAGGGGCTCTCAGCATGTCTCTCGTGCCTTTTGGCAGCAGAGGCATGAGAACAGCTATTGTCTGTGTGTGCAGTGATGGAGCTGTGGGAATGCTGTCTCTGCCTGCAGGAGAACCAGAAGGAACAGTGGTTATTCCCAACAGAAAAGAGTCAGGGAGGCAGCAGAAGGGCTGGGTTTATTTTGAGTCGCTGGCTAAGTGTCAGTCAGTGCTGTCTTGAAGCAAGAAAGGAGATTTCCTTCTGGAGTGTCACATCAGGGGTACAAGGACGAGAGATCGAGCCTCTTCTCCGTAGTGGTTGGTGGTGTTACAGGGGACAGTGGCCTCAGATTGACTTCTGACAGGCAAGTTCAGGCTGGGCACTAGGAAGAGGTTGTTTGGCAGTGGGTGATGCTGTGCTGGAGCCAGGAAGGCAGCGAGGTCTCTGTCCTTGCAAGTGTTCTGGCCTTGACTAGACAAAGCCATGGCCAACCTGACCCAGTGGTGGCTTTAGTCCCTCTCTGAGCAGGAGGCTGGGCTGGAGGACCTGAATCCTTGCCAGTCAGTACTTCTCTGGGTCTTGTCCCTGTCCTGATTCTTTGTGAGGCAAAGTCTCAGCAAACAGTGGGAAAAATACTTTGCATTCCAGGAATGTGGGTGCCTTGGGCAGATCCCAGCAGGGCCTGAAGGCTTTCACCACAAATAATGGGATTTAACGTTTGATCTGTCTAGATCACCCACACCAAGGTCAGTGACTCTGGCACATACCTCTGCTGTGCCTCCAACAGCCACGGAGAGCACTGGACCAGCGCCGTGGACGTTCACATAGGTGAGCAGAGCCAACCCACATCACTTTGTGGCATGTCAACTTCTGGTGTGAGAAGTATTGGAGAGCAGAAAGGAATTTAGTGGTCTTGTCTGGAAGCACTAAGCTGGTGAGCAAGGACTGCAGTAAACAGGATTCCTGGGCACTGGGGCTCCCAGGGAGGAGGCAGCAGAGGCAGGCAGCACCCCAAAGCTGGTGCTGCACTGTGTGGTGGGTGGGACACTGTTTGGTCCTGCAGTCTGACACCTGCTGTGCTAGGGCAGGCTCAGCACTCTCAGCTGCTCCCTGTGGGTTTCTTGCCTTGCCAAGGTGCTGATTTCACTGTTCCATAGCCAAATCGTGGCAGGCTCATGTTCCCAAACTCATTTCCAGCCTCTCTGAGATGAAATGATGTGCTCAGACACAGAACTGGAGAGGATGCTGTTTATTTTGGGGAGATTCAGGCCCCTCGGGCTGGCAGCTCAGGGCTGATGCTGGATCCTGATGGATCCTGAGGAGAAGATATGTCTCCAGAGCCTCAGGCACACTCCACCTCCAGTGTGCCAACTGCTTTGGCCCTCTGCCTTTGCCCTGTGTGAGACAGGAATAGCACAGGCTGGCTTTGCTGGCTCTTTACTCCATCTAGAGATTTTTCTGTGCCATAAGCTTCCCATCCTGCCTTTTAGCCTGGCCTTAAAATTGGTCCAGAGTGCAAATTGATCCTGTATAGGCAGAGAATACTCTGCCTGCCTCTTCGCAGGTGAGAAATGAGCATCCAGGGAGGCAGACAAGGACACCAGATTGGGTTGGGTTCAAAGTGTTACAGCTGGGGACCTGTAACATGCAACAGACTCCTGTCAGTGGCAGAAAAGGATGAGTGGTTTTGTTCCAGTGGTCTTCCAGGCATCCCTGATGCATCAGCAGCACTGCTTCAGGGGCTAAAGGTCTTCCAGACCCATGACATCTATGCAATTTATCCTTAATTTATTCTTTTAGAGCCTGTAGGGTTTTAGAATTTTCTCTTGGGCTGGGTTTTATAATTTATTTCAAATTTAAATAGGAAAAGCTGGAGCTGTTGGGGTAATGATGATTGTAAGAGGCTGGAAGTGCTCAGGCAGGGGAGTTTGTGGAGGTCCCCAGAATGAGTCACATTTGGAGCTGCTAAAAGGCAGGGAAAGGGACAGCAGGGAGATGAAGAACTCTGGGAATGTTATTGCAATCAAAAACAAACAGGGCAACTTCCTCTGCACCAGACATTTATGGGGAGAAACTCTGGTTTGGAGCTTTTGTTGACCTTGAGTCGCTGTGTTTCCTTTGCTTTCCCTGCAGTGAGGGTATGGGTGAGTCACCTTGCGAAGCTCAGGCATGAGAATCTCCTGGCTCTTCTTCCCTGACCTGCCCCTTCTCCAGGCTTTGCTTCCCAGCTGTTCGGGATGCCATAAATCAGGCAGGATTTCATAAATCCTCCTAAAGTCAGATCACGGTGTTTAAGGTTAACAGTCAGTCTGTGAAGAATTTGCCCGAGGGGTGTTGCTTGTGCTGATGCTCTGTGTATTTGATCCAGCTATGCTTTTCTGGGGGTGTTGGAACAGGATTCAGACCTGGCACTGGATGCTGGGCACAGGCTTATCATTTCCCTTTTTCTTTCCCAGGTACGTGTGGCTCTGAAAAGTTTTTTGGTGAGTACTGTCATCTTTTCTTCCTGAGCCCTTAGTCCCTTAGTGAAAAGCCAGGCCCCAGGGTGGATGGAAGGACAGGGAATGGCAGTGCTTTTCCTGCAGAGGTCTTTATGCCCACATTGCTGTGGGCTCTGTGCATTTGGGATCAGAGCTGCATGGCACAGGATGGGTCCCATCCCCTGCCAAGCCCTGATTGTTCTCAGTTAAGTGGAGTAAGATTGTTCTTAATGAGTAACCATATCTTGACCTCCATGACTACCAAGTGAGTTTAAGAGTGTTGTTCACATGACACCTTTTCCCTTCCTTGAAATACCTCCTTAGAGCAGGGAAAAGCTTCTCCCTCCCACCACTGCTGAGTGAAATAAATCCCTTTTTTCTACAGTGGGAAGTGGGGATAAAATCAAAGCAGGAGCTCAAGGTTTATCTCCTTCAGCCCTGTGAGGGAAAGGACCCCTTAGCCTGGCTCAGTGGATTTCCCTCCCACAAACCACGAGCACAGCAGACCTGAGGTTTAGGTAGGGCAGGCAGAGCAGAACCTGCTGCACTCCTGGGATTTTGGTTGTCAAGTGAAAACCTTTCAAACCTTTCTGTCGAAAGAGTGGTTTGTGTACACTGTCAAAACATTCAGAAAGCTGAGGGCTTTCTGGAGTGTGCTCTAGGCTTGCAGCAGCCTAGGATCTATCCTTCCTGCCTAAACCTTTTCATAGATGTGCTGCATCCTCACTCTGACAGGATGAGGTGAGAATTTGCCTCCTGCTGAGCGTTTACAGCTTTGTCACTTGGTGTTCATTTTAGCTACAGGTAAAATCGCACTTCTAGTGGGCAACAACCACTACCAGCATCACCCCAACCTCATGGCTCCTGTCAGGGATGTGTTTGAGCTGGGTCGTCTCCTGGAGCAGCTGGACTTCCAGGTTGTCTCCCTCCTGGATCTGAACAAGGCAGAGATGGCAACAGCAGTCAATCGGTTCCTGCAGCTCCTGGGGAAGGGAGTCTATGGTAAGGCAAGACCAGCTGGGCCACCTGCCTGTGCTGAGCAGGGATTTGGCAATTTTCTATACAGCTGTTGAATTAAAAGAGAAGAAATTGAACTTTGCTTTCTCAAGGGAGACCTGCAGCACAGTCCATAGTGGTGCCAGGCTTGGCAGAAGCTCCTGGATAAGTGTAATTCAGTTTTGGCCAGATTACAGCCAGGCAGAGTTGGTGTTCCTCCATCACCTGGCTCACCTCCAACCCCAACAGCATGGGTTCACACTGAGCTTTTGGGGAGTCAGTGCTGCTGGTAGTGAAGGGGAAAAGGGGTTTTGGTTTTTCTTTAGAAGACAAAATTGAGGAGACTGTTCACCCCCACTGCTCTCCTGTGTGAGGAGAGGAGCTTCTTTTGAGCCCTGACTGCTGCATCTGGCCATGATTTCCTCGTTGGTCTTTCCTGAAGGTCTAATTTGGGCTCCTGACAGCCTTTTCACAGAAGAGCTGCAGATGGCTTTGAGGTTGGGCTTCAAGCTTATTGCACACTGTTCTCAGTGGGAAGTATTCCTCAAACACAAACCCAACCAGCACATCTTGTGGGTCTTAAAGCAGGTGTTCAGATTTGGTGGTGGAAGTAGCATCTTTGGGGTCCTTGAGGGTCTCCCAGCCCTACAGATACCCTGATAACACCTTGCAGGTGTTTTTCTTTGCTTCCAAACCTCATTGTGGCACTTATCCCCCAGCTCTGTGGCACCCAGACAGTGAAAGTCATCGTGGGCTGAGTCCAGCCTGGCACTTGGCATGAAGTTTGGAGGTTGTGCAATGGATAGAGACATGGCAACAAGGGAACTGCTGCAGAGCCACCTCATTCCTGGAAGCACTGACTCACCAGGGGAGGCTGAGCTGGTGGGAAGGGCTGTACACAGTCATGGCCACTCCAGCTGAGCACGTCAGCGATGACAGCATATTCCTGTGACTTCACTTGGCGTTTCCTTTCATGGTTGCTCTCTGAAATCCCTTTGTATCTCAGGTTTTACCTCATCTCCCAGGCTCAAGTCAACCCAGCTGCCATTCCTACCCTCTATCCATGGCGCATGGGGACCAAATAGCATTTAATCCATGGTTCTTCCATTGTTTTCATAAGCACTGGCTTAAAGAACCTGGAGGTGCCATCTCCTGTGTAGCAGCTACCACAGCTGAAGTCAGGAGAGCTTTGTGTAGCCACACAGTGGGAGGAGAGGACTGACTGGTGGAAAACTGTCTTTCCTCCTGTCAAACATGACCCTCCATGGGTTGGTGCTCATTGCTCATCTTGTGTGGTCCACGCCAGCAAGGGGAGTTGGGCTTTGTGGTCTCTGTAACTGCCTGTCCAGGAACTGGAGGCTGTTGTGAGACCTTCCTCCACTTCCACATCTCCAGACCATCCCAACACTTCTCCCTCTCCTCCCAGACCCTGGACCTGCAGTGCTCAAAAACTGAGTGGATGTGGCACTGCACAGTATGGTTTAGTGGGAGGAGTGGGATTCAGTCCAAGGTTGGACTTGAGGATCTTGGAGATCTTTCCGACCTTAATGATTCTATGGTTCTATGATCCAGCCATCTGGAGGTGGTGGCTCATCTGGCTGCTTTTCCTCCAGATCTCTTAGAAAAGCTGCAGAGAGGTTTGGAAGGCACCAAATATCCCCTGAGTGATCTGATTGTTCCACCCTCAGGCAAACAAGGAATCCCCCACGATGTTGTTTCAAGTGTACTAAAAAGTCCCAAGTCAGAAAAATAACATCGGAAATGCAACAAGAGCAGAAAGTTGCGAGTGAAGTTCTAGGGATATGGAGTCATTCCTTAATTGAGACTCATGCTGACATTTCCTGCATTATAAACAGTGCCTGGAGCTTCCCCTTTTTAATTTGGTACTCAGAAGTTTGTCTGTGATCAGTAGTTCTGACTCACATCATGTGGGAAAAGCTCAGAATAAAAAAGTGCTTTGCTTCTCTGGGCAAATTGTTGACTTTCCTGTTCAGGAGGAGACATTAAGTCCAGAAAAGGTTGGAAAACTTGCTCAGCTGATGTGAATCTCAGGTCTTTTTTGATTTGAACACAAGTCTTTGTGGTTTCTGTAGCATGGGGAACACTTGGTGGTGTAGTCAGGTACACAGTAAGGCCTCAAAAGTTAGAAGATTGAAGGATTGAATCATTCTTTGTGGGCTTTTCTGTAAAATTTCATTTTTTTCCGGGTGTCACCAGGCATCATCACTTCCCTTGCACATACAGGGGCAGAGGCAGGGAGACGAAAGCCACCAGTGCTCGATGACTTCAGAGGCCCAATCTGGAGTGCCTGCATTTAATTTTTCTAGAAGGCTTCCTGTTTTATACTCTTTTCTAGTCTCAGGGAAGGGTTTTGTGGCTTTGATTTGCAAGTTACAAAAGTTTAAAGCTTCTGCAAATCAGAACCCTTTGTCCCTGGCTGGCAATCCACAAGAAGAGGAACCCAAACCCATGGGCACCTGTGGAAACAGCCACTTGAGAAACTTTCCACTGTCCCCTGAGAACAGAAACCAAAGGTGACTTGAGGCCTTCTTGACTGTGAGATCATGTTCTCCATTTTCCATGCACTGAGGTCATGCTTTCAGTCCTTCAGCTCTTGCCCCATTCCCTGCATCCCTCACAGCATTGGAGATTGAAACAAGTGTCCTGCCAAGTCCAGGGGCAGGAAGAGTGGAGGGAAAACAGAGTAGTGGTTACTCACAAGCATGGGCTTTGGCAGCTGGAGGATTTCTCCTGCTGTTGCCTCTTAGCTGTTAGTTCCCATTTCTGACCTCTCACTCCTCAGTTGCGGTAGCACAACTGTCGACGTCACATCGCAGAGCTATTTTTAACCCATTTCAGTTCCCCAAGTTGCTTTCAGCAACCAGCAACCCTTAAATTGTGTTGCTGGTGCTGGGGAAGGGCAGCCAGCCACTGTGCAGCTTCCTTTTGGGTTGCCAAATCTCTTCCTTTTGGGAAGCTGCAGCCCACATGGGGTTTCCTGTGCACGAGGAAAACCTTTCGCCCAACAGGAGCTGGAGAGAAGAAGCACCAGCTTGGGCCATGCCAAGCTTTCCAGTGCTGGCTTCCCACCCAGGCAGAAAATATTACTAAGTTTCATGTTCTTAAGAGTAAAAACCTACATTCTTATTGGGGATTGGAGTTTCTACCAGCACCTGGATGAGTCTGACGACTCTCCTGCCTAACCGGGTTGGTGTCTGGCCTGAGGTAGTTGAAGCAAGTGGTCCATGTGTTCTGGAGAACTCACATCTCTCTGTCTCTATCTCATTTTTCACCAGCTGATAGGTGTGTGAATACAGTTAGACCTTTGAAATCTGGAGACTGTTCTCCATCACAGTCTCTCCTCCAAAACTAGGAAGCTGAGGAGCTTCTCATTAAAAAAGCTGCTAATGTATGTTCCATTGTGGTAAAATCCTTTTCTGTTGTCATATTCCTGCAAAGAGCTGAGGATTAACCAAAACTCCATTCCAAGGTACAATTCAGCCTGGCAGTGCTGAACCTGGGTATTGCAGCACAGATGGTTAGGGGAATATGTAAACCCAGTGACTTTAGGTGATGAGCTGTGCTGAAATTCAAAAGTATAGGAGAGCCTCTTGGGGCTGCTTCCTGCTCTGCTGAAGGGAATGAACTGGAAAGAAGTTGAGGTGGTGAGGTCAATGTAGCTGCAGTTGCATAGGTGCTACTGGTCTAAGTCTTCCCTGCACCAGTATCCTTTCAGGACAGGAAGTGGGACATGGCCATGTTACAGACCTGCATGTTATCATCCTGTCTCATCCTCTCTTCTCCCTGTTCCCAGCTATATTCTACTATGCTGGGCATGGATACGAACATTCAGGAAGGAACTACATGGTCCCTGTTGATGCTCCACAACCCTATGCCCCTGAGAACTGCATCAGCGTGCAGAGGATCCTCCAGAAGATGCAGCAGCAGCAGACAGCCCTGAATATCATCCTGCTGGACACCTGCAGGAAGTGGTAGTGTGCTCTTCCCCCTTCCTCACCTGGGCTGGGCATTCCGAGGGGTGGGAGGGAACAGCAGGCAGTCCCAGCCATGGGCTCCCTACACAATCCTTGGAGTGTTCCTACATTTGCTGAACCTCCAACCAGGGTTATCATCTGTGTCACAAAATCAGCAAGACTATCAGGTCCTGCAGGATGTCCTGGGAAGACATTGGTCATGTATTTGTGCACAGAGCATCAGACATTGTCTGAGACCTGCTGGAGAAAAGGAGCTGGACACCCTGCCTTGATGTGTCGAGGTGAAGAAGCCTGGCAAATCCAGGCAGCTTGCCTGTGGAGGGATGGCTCTGCCTGGCATAAATTGTTGGCTGAAACTCAGCACAGGGTTTTATCTTTTGTGTTTCAAGCCTGACCCCCCTGACCTGGTCTCACTGACTGTGTGTGTTCCTGGTCTGTGTTTCTCACATGCTCAGGCTGGGGGTGTTCAGGTCACCTCTTCTCCTGGCTGAGTTCTTGTTAACATCTCAGTGAGAAGAGTGCAGAACAATGGGGGAAAGATTTTAAGCCCTGCTACTTGGCTTTTACTGGCCTTAAATCCTTCTGAAGTGGTTGTTGTGAAGCAGCTGCTGCTGATGTCAGAGATCAGCGTTTTCCTGCTGTCTGTGAAAGCCCATCATCCTTCCTTGGCCTGCAGACCTCTATCCTGCTGCAGAAAATTACACCTTGTCCAATTTCAGCAGAGGTGGGTGGACTGTTTCAGTAGAAGCTGTCATTAGTTCATTTATTTCAGTCTCTTGAGGCAGATTTACAGGTCAGAAAAGACCTGGAGAGCAGATGCAGGAAAGTCTCCCTCTTCCTGCTGTGGTTCCTGCACTAAGAACCAGAAAGATGACAGGGATTTTGATAGTGCAGCCCTGAAAGAGCTGCCAGCCCCTGGAGAGATGATAAATCTTTGATGCCTTTCAGCTGCAGAGGTGGGGATGTTCTCTTTGACTAGCTTAGGGCTGGCTGTGCTGGGACTTCTCCTGCAGCTCTGAACTGCCAGCGTCACTGGGGCTTGATGTCCCTCGATCCTGCCCTGAATGCCCTGGAGTGAAGCATCCCCTTTGTCCCTTCTTGCTGCCACAAGCAGAGTGTGATGCTTCCCTGGCACACCTGGTGTGCCAGCTCTGTCCTGAGCTCATTTTTCTTGAGAACTCACCATTTCAGCTCAGGAAAGCATCTGGATTTCGTAGCTCTGTGTGTTTACACTGCTGTTTAAAACCAAACCCTTGGGACCACCTTTCCCAGCACCCTTTGGCTGGACTGATGCTGCAGGTCTGTCGGCTGGGAGGAGCTGTGTGTGTGCTGAGAGAGCTCACCCAGATTGTCTCCTCACCCCATATGCTGGCATCAGAAACACCAAGGCAGCGAGAAACACATCCCCCTTTGCCAAGTGGGAGCAGATGTTCAGCTTCAGCAGAGGAACCAGGAATGCAGAGCCTGTGTGTAGCCTTGTACATTTATATGCTGATTTTGGGTGAATTCGATTGCCTCTTCCAGGAATTCCCTGATTTATCCTTGGGCCTGGAATCACAGATTTCTGCATTCATTTAGGAGCAACTGAGGAGCAGATTAATCTCAATACTCAGAAGCATATCTCCTTTCCCACATTTTCTCTTCTGATCATCCTTAAGACAACTTACACAAGCCAGATGAATCCTGCCATTAAACATCTCCAGCTTGTGCCACCAGCAGTGGGTGACATGCTGGCTGCTGGCAACACAACCATCCCTTCTGCTCTCCTTACTCTGCCAGCTTCAGCCCCAGGAGGCTGTGCTGGAATTGAATTGCATGGTGACACTGCCTCTATGTCTGGCTGTTGTCACCGTGTGACTGGGAACAGCTCCGAGCAGTGGAGTGAACTGGAGGCAGCCGGTCAGTCTGCCTGCAAGCAGATGGGCAAGGCTTGACCATTCAGTGCAACCAGGATGTGGGGTTTTTTTTGATGGAAACCAGACCTGGGTGTGGAGCAGGGAACAGCTCACCTGTGCAGATAGGTCACAGCTGGACCCATGCACTCATTTCCCTGTGGTCTGGGTTTTTTGGGGGCTCCTGGTGGCTCTCTTGGCTGCCCAGGTGGTATGGGTGGTTGTGTTTGAGGTGAGGGATGATCTAAGGAGATAGATGTGGGGGAGTATGTGGACTCTGTTCCCCTCATTTGACAATGTCCTTGACACTGACTGGTGCCTTTGCCTTTTCTTCCAGGTACAACCCAGGACGTGCCCTCTCCCAGGTGCAGCCTCTGGAGCCCTGGGGAAACACTGTCTATGGCTATGCCACGTAAGTGCTCTCCTCTGTTCCACACCAGCCCATGGGACTAAAGGCTGGCCCAGCCATACCTCCTCTCATCCTTTCATCACAGTGACAGGAGGCTGGAGAGGGCTTCTCTTGTGTTTCCTGTGGATCTCACTCTTCCTCTGCAGCGTTTGCTGTTCAGACACTTCCATCCTTCCTGCTGCCATCACTCATGGTGGCATGTGCATCAGTTACAGGTCATGCATGAAGGTGTCATCAGCTCCTGTCACCCATCCCTCAGGCCTGACCCTGATTCCTCAGGTGCATGTGCCATGAGCAGCCCACCTAAAGCCTCCTGAGATGATGGGTGTTGCTCAATGCTCCAGCGCCAGCTTTGCTGACATTTCACCTCCAACCACCTGCTTAGGCTTTCCTATCCCATCCACTTCCACTGCTCTTTTCCATCCCATGCTCTTCCCACCCTTTCCTGGACCAAACGCACTTTGTTATTCCCTGGGGAGCTAACAGACTCAGCCAACAGAGTCTGGATGGAGTCAGCAAGCCCTGACTCCCCCCAGGGCTTTATGCCCAGTGCAGAAATGTGAGGACGGGTCCTTTCTCATACAGGAGCGAAGATGCAGAAGCCTTTGAACTGCAGGATGGGGAGTTCAGCTCTGGGATCTTCATGAAGTACCTGAAGAAACACATTCTGCAGGAGAAGAAGGTTACACACATGCTGGAGGATGTGTTAGAAGGTGAGGGATGAGCTAGAAAGCACTTGCTTTGATAGCAGAGGTGAGAAGAGAAAGCAGAGACTGAGTGGCTCTGCACCATCCTATCCCAGTCAGCCAGCCAAACATCCCGCACTTGCTTTGATAGCAGAGGTGAGAAGAGAAAGCAGAGACTGAGTGGCTCTGCACCATCCTATCCCAGTCAGCCATCCTTCCCCAAAATCCAAACCACAGGCCGTGCTCCACGGGAGCTTTCAGTAGCCTGGCTGGAGTATGGAGATGTATCATGTAGGATCTGAAAGGCAGCGAGACCAGTAAGCAGCCTGAAGTGACCTTTGTGCCTCCAACTCTCTCCCACAGACGTGGGCCGGGATCCCCTGGTCACTGGGAAGCAGGTGATGGAGATCAAGCACACTCTGAAGGAAGGCAGGTCCCTGACGGATCCCATCCGTGCGTCGGGAGCCGCTGCCCAGCACTGGGGACACGGCCACGGTGAGCCACGAAGGGTGTGGGGAGGAGAGGGAAGGCTGGGGGTCCTGGTGCTCCTCCCTGTGGTCCTGGTGGACCCTTCCAAGGAGCTGATCCCTCTTGGATTTCTCTTCCAGAGCCGCTGAGCAGAACAGTGACCTTCCGCTGTGGGGCCCGGGTGGAGCTCCACTTGGTGCGGCTCTTCTCCAACCTGATGTACGTGTGTGCCAAGCTGCAGTCGCCCCCTGCCCACATTGCTGACCCTCACCTGCTGCTCTGCCAGCCCACTGTGAGTCCCTGGCCACTCCCTTCCCGGGCTGCTTTCCTCAGGGCACAGGTGGGAGGCTGGTTGGGCTGAGCCCAGGGGGTCGCAGGCGCTGGGAGAGGCTGATCCCAGGTGGAGAAGGGTCCCTTCCTCTGCACACACCTCTTTGAGAGCTCCTTCCACGCCCCAGTGGATTCCCTGCTGTCCTTATGCATCACAAGAAGGATTTGGCACCGGTTTGATGCCTTTAACCAGTTAGCCCTCAGATTGATTTCTGGCCTGCCTGATTAAGTTATTGCATTTAATATGATTGAGGCAAAGAGCTGTTCTGTTTTCCAGGTCTGGAAGCAGATCTGGCTTTTTGCACCCTGCCTTTTTAGCCCACTGTGCTGAATATATCTCAATGCAACAACCTATTTCTTTCCTGTTGAGCTGTACCAGTTTCCTTGCACCCTTTCTCACACCATTCCTAGCAGACCATATGGTCAGCGTGGTCTTTCCTGGTGCTCTCCATGCCACCCTGAAGGATTTAATTTCCTGCTCCTTTCTGCTAACCAACTTCCTTGTGTCCTGTAGTTTAATTTCCTGCTCCTTTCTGCTAACCAGCTTCCTCGTGTCCTGTAGCCCTTTTGCTGAAGCATAGAGTGACTGGTGGATTTTTCAGCCCTTGTTGCTCGTGGAGGGACACTGCACCTGAGCACATTGGGGTCACTGATGCAGCACGGTGTATCCAGGAGGTTTGGAGCCTGATCCTGCTTGTTCTCCAGCCAGCGCGTCGTTTCCCCTCGTGAGCTCCCTAATCATGCATGAAAATCGTGTGTGTGTGAGCATGTATTTGTGTGTATCCACCCCACATCAGCAGCTGAGGGGAAGAGAGGACCCAGCTGTGTGCTCCTGCCTCTGGAGCTGTCAAGAGGGACTGAGGGGACAAGAAGGGACCCCGGTACAGGCAGGGCAGTAGGATCACAGAATGGTTCAGGTAGGAAGGGCCCACCGTGGGTCATCTGGTCCCACCTCTCTGCTCTTGCAGAGTAATCCCAGAGCATGTGGCACAGGATTGTGTCCAGATGGTTCTTGAATATCTCCAGTGAGGGAGAATCCATGACCTCTCTGGGCAATCTGTTCCAGTGCTCAGTAATCAAGTTCTTCCTTATATTCAGGTGTAACTTCTGGGCATCAGATTCTGCCCTTTACCTACTGGCAATACTCTTCCTAATTCATCCCAGGATTCCATTGGCCTTCTTAGCTTTCAGGGCTCACTGCAAGCTCATGGACAGCTTGTTGTCCACCAGGACCTTCAGGTTCTTCTCCACAGAGCTGCTCTCCAGCAGGTCAGTGCCAACCTGTACTGGTGCCTGGGGTTATTCCTCCCCAGATGCAGGACCCGGATGTGCCTTCATTGAATTTCAGGTGGTTCGTCTCTCCAAACTGTTGAGGTCCCTCTGAAGGGCAACACAGCCCTCTAAGGTATTGGCTACTCCTCCCAGTTTTGGGAGTGAGCTTGCTGAGGAGGCAACTCTGTCCCCTCATCCTAGTCATTGACGAATAAGTTAAGCAATACTGGAAGTTAAGCAATACTGGGCCCAGTGCAGAACCCTGGGGGACACCACTGGTGACAGCCTCCAACTAGACTCTGTGCCACTGATCACGACTCTCTGGGATCTGCTGCTCAGCCAATTCTCAATCCACCTCACTGCCCACTCACCTCTAAGGTATTGGCTACTCCTCCCAGTTTGGGGAGTGAGCTTGCTGAGGAGGCAACTCTGTCCCCTCATCCTAGTCATTGACGAATAAGTTAAGCAATACTGGAAGTTAAGCAATACTGGGCCCAGTGCAGAACCCTGGGGGACACCACTGGTGACAGCCTCCAACTAGACTCTGTGCCACTGATCACGACTCTCTGGGATCTGCTGCTCAGCCAATTCTCAATCCACCTCACTGCCCACTCATCCAACGCTTCTTGGGTCTGCCTGAGGATGCTGTGGGACGCAGTGTGGAAGGGATCCCTGTCCCTGTCCCTCTCCACGGCGGTGCTGGCTCACACTGACCTCCAGTGGGGCCAGCTGAGGCAGCAGCTCATCCTCCCACGGGAGTGCAGCTCAGTGATTTCCTTATTCCCTTGTCCCTTCTTGTGCTGTTAGTGGCTCCAGGATGGGATTGGTACTGAAGAGGGTCTCACAGAGACAGGCTGTTTTGGCTAAGTGTAACTCAGCAAGAACTGGCAGCTCTGTAGATGGTGGGAGACTAACTAGGCACAACTCAGAGCTTCCTCCAGCTTTGTCCTTGGAAAACTTTTCCTCCTTGTCACACTACTGATGCTGCAGGTGGTTTTGGTGCCATCTCTTGTTGCTTTCTGCTCTGCTGCAACTTCTCTTGTACTCCAGTTTTCCTGGTAAATGCACTCAGGGGATGTTTAGCTTCCAACTGATATGCACGAGGTGAGTGTGTAAAATCTCTCTATTCCTATGGCTTGGTCTCTGTAGTACTTCCATTAGGATATGCAGCTTTTCCAGCAGCCAATGTGCCAGTCAAAGCCCTGAGCACTGCTGTGTGCAGAGGCAGCATGTTTGATGGGCAGTTGTGCCTCAATGCTCCATTCTGATGCTGAAATTTCCTTCCATTTCCTTTTGCTTTCCTGAGCCAGGAGACAGATGATGTGGCCACCCAGAGGAAGAGCCGCCTGGACCACGTGGACACTCTGCTCACCTCTGTGTACAAGCGGGAGGAGCTGGACTGTGCCTTCCAGCTCTGTGGACTACAGAAAATTCAGGTAGAGAGCTGCCAGGTGTCACACTTCAAAACACCCTCAACCTATTTAAGGACCACGAGGGAGGCAGAATTGCTGCTCCCCTGGCCTGTCTCTTCCAGCAGATCATCTCTTCACACACCAGTGTGCACCCTGTTTCTCCCTTGATTTTTTCCCCTCCCTGAATGTGCAGCCAGTGGATCTTGCACCCAGCACTGCTCTCGAGCTGCTGCCTGGATCTGCCTGCAGCAAGCTCAGTTTGCTGAGTGCGTGATGTGCCTCAGCATATGGCAGTGCTTTCAGTCCTTGATTGTTCCTGGAGCTCTTCTCTGAACCTTTCCCAAGTGTTCTGCATTGCTTTTAAGTGCAGACAGGAGACCCAGACCCTGCATTGCCTGCCAAAATCTTCTTGCTCCATTATACATCTGCCTGCTCTGTACAGCCAGGCATCTGAGGCACAGCCCATGCTGAGGCTTTGCTTTCAGGGGTTTGGCTGTCATGAATGTGGTTATTTTCTGATTCCTTCATCTTTTATAAAATTCTAAAAGTGCTAGGCTGTGAATGGATCCCTGTGGAGTGCTGCTGCTGCTTAAAGCTGTTGGCTTTTACAGCATGATGTGTGTTCTAGTTCATAAAATCATAGAATGGATCAGGTTGGAAGGGACCTTAAAGCTCATCTCATTCCACCTCCTGCCATGGGCAAGGACACCTTCCACGAGGCCAGGATACTCAGAGCTGCATCCATCCTGACATTGAACACTTCCAGGGTTGGAAGTGGTTCATATCCCTCCCTTTCATGCTCTCCTCTCCCGTGGGCAGGACGATGTGATGCTGTTCCTTGCCTGGGCACAGCCCTTCTGCCCTGTTTCTCCCCCATGCCAGCATCCCATGGGTAATGCCCGCAGTGACAGTGCCCTGAACAGGCAGATGAGATCCTGAGTGAGGTGGCCTGATTCAGGAGAGGTCCTGAAACCCAAAATCCATGGCTGAGGCCCACAAGCATCCTGAGCTGTATGAGTATGTGAGAGCTTGTTTTCTCTGGCAGTAGCATTGCTCCCTCACGCCACAGCATGGGGCTGTGAGGCTGCACAACACCCAGCCAAGGCTCTTCTTCCTGGCAGACCCAGCAGAGCTCTGCTTCCAGCCTCTCTCCGATTCACTTGGCATCCTTTGCTCTCCCCTTCCAGACAGACGTGGTCCTGCAGTTGGATTTGCATTACACCCAACCCAGCACGAAGCAGAGGACTTGTGAGACCCTGCGGACAACTCTCCAGAAATCCCTGCTGGGGCAGTTTTTCAGCCAGAGCAATGAGTCCCAGCCAGACCAACAGCAAACTCCTGCCTGCGTGTGCCACCGGGACACATTGGCACCGAGCACGGAGCTGAAGGGACACGGATCCCTCAGCACAGGCTCTGGGCACAGCTTGCCCAGCAGCAGCCCCTCCAACTTCAGCAGTGAGCCCGAGGAGAACGATGAGAGCGACCTGGGCGCGCTCTGCTCCGCGCTGCTCCGGGCTGGCCCAGGGCAGGACAGGCCCTGACTCCCAGCCTGGGGAACTGCTGGTTTTCGTTGAGGCAAGAGAGTGCTAAATCCATCAGAATCCGTCAGCCCTGTCTGAATGAGGCCAAGGCTGCTTGGTTGGAAAGGCTTCTCCCATCTGCACCCTGTGGCATGCAGGACCTAAATCCTGCTGGGTGGGAGTGTGAGGATCAGCAGGGAGTCATCGTGGTGTCCAGCAGAAGACAGGACCACCAGGCCAGTCCTAACACTGCCAGGTGAAACCTGGCGTCGCTGCAAGTCAAGGGCACTGGTTGGTGTTTCCTGCCCAAAACCAAGTGTTGCAGCATTAAATATGATGAGAAAGCCACAAACACTACAGATCCACCAGACAGCAGCAGAGCTCACAGCCCAACCACAGCTGCTGGCTCTGGACCACGGGGACCAGGAGAAACAGTGACAGTGTGTAAGCTCTCCCTGGGGTCACAGTGTGGTTTTCTTCCCATGCCTGTGTCAAGGCAGGTGTTAAGTTATGCATTTCTGTGTTTCTGAAGAATGTATTTATAACTGGGGCAAGACAATCACTTGCCAGGAAAAGGAATGTCAGATGTTCTGTCCAGTGTGTGTTCACAGTGCAGGCTGGTTCCCCCAGGAGGTACCTTGACACCTGCACTTCTAGTGTGGTACAGTGGGACATTTAAGGGTGTTAAGCCCTGTGCAGTCCCCAGTTCCTCTCAGGTGCAAAGTTTCCTACATGTGACAGATGGAAAAGACCAGAATGGTGAAGGAAGAATCTAAAAGAAGTTATTATTAGGGCAAATTGTTTTTATTAAGTGCCTGTCTGTGCTGTGGGCAACCTCGAGCACTATATTTCCTGGAGAAACAGCTGTCCAGAGAGAGCCACAGGTGAGCAGGGCCCAAAGGACAACCCAAGTCGACACAGTGCTCTCTCTGTCTGCTTCCCTAATGTCTGTTCTGTAAAGGTGGTTGTTCAGCAGCACCTGAGAGGGTGATCCAACAGTTCCACAGAGGCCAGTGAGCCCAGTGAGGTGTGGGGTCCCCATCCTTGGAAGACAGTTCAGTCTGGACTAGAGAAGGTGCTGATGACCTGATCCAGGCTGGTGGGTGCTGGACCAGAGACCACTAGACATCCCTTCTGGCTGTTGTGGTCCTGTGAAAGAAGGAGCTTGGAGAGCAAAACTTCTTGAGAGGTCAAGGGTAGCAGGGTGGGGAGTGCCTGAGTTCTGCCTTGGTTTAAACGAGTGGTGGAGAAAACATTTTCTCAGTTTTCTCTCCTTCAGCAGTGAAGACACATCCCTGTCTATGGTGTCTGTTGCAGCACAGAAAAATCTTAAGTGTTCCTTCCAGATAAATCATCCTACAAGTGCTGGAAACCTGTCCAAAGAGAACAGAGGAGGCTTTTATTCTCACAGTGAGTGGAGCCAAGGGAAAGAAGAGGGGCCCCATCTGGCTGCAGACTAGAAAGTCTCCTAGGAAAAAATGTAAAGCTCCAAAAAATAAAAATTCACAGTATGTAGCTGAAATAAGATGGGCTGATAGAGAAGCTGCACCAGAAAATAATAAACTGATTGAAGGGAGAACCAAAGACCAACTCAACACCAGCAGCCACTGAGGACAGGTAAGTGGGAATGGCGGAGGAGCTGGGGGTCTCAGTGCCTCTCCTGTGCTGTTGGGGCAGGATGTGTTTCTGGCTCACGTGGTCATGGCAAGTGTCATCTCCTGTGAATGTTACTCTCATTCAAAGCAAGGCTGTTTATTTTTCTGAATAAAACACTATTGGTGTTTTTGAATGCACAAAACTTCACGTGGCTCTGAGTTAACTGTGTTCATTTTCCCTCTAATTGCCAGGGTGGGACTTAATACTGACCTGGTGAGGTTGTGTGCTTTCAGCTTTGGCTTCTGGGCTCTTCTGTGTGAGCATGGTTTCTTTTTTTAGGTAACTGTATCCTGAAGTTTGGGTTTGGAAGGTGGAGCAAGAAGTACCAAGTAAACTGTAGCTTTAGAACATGAATATCTGATGAACATAGCAACCCCTAAATATCCCATAATCTTATTTTTAGGTAGGTATCCTTCTTTTCCTCTCTGCTAGTGCAGGTGTGCTTCAGGGAAGGACTTTGGTCAGCAGCCTGATGTGCTCTTCTTCTGCTACAGAATTGGTTTGGGATGCAGTTCCTGACAAAACAAGGCAAGTGTACCCAAAAGGAGTGAGAATATAAGGCACTGGAAAATCCTGGGCCCAGCTGCTGTCAAGAGGTATGTTGTGTTTACACCTTCTGTTGGCTGCAGATTGCTTATGGTTTGTTCTCAGCTGGCTTTTTTGTGACCAAAGCAAGGAAAGGGGAGATTTGTCCTGGATCAGCCATTCTCCAGCCTCAAGCAAAGAGAGAGAGAGAGAGGACTCATTTCTGGGGGAAAAAGTCAGCATGGCTCACATCTCTTTCCCCTTCTCCCTCACACTAAAGAATCTGAAATTGTTCTTTAGAAACTGATAGGTTCCTTATTTTCCTCGTTAGAGATTCTCCATGATCTACAGAACCTTCCAGATCATTTCCCATTCCCCATTACAGGGCAGAGCTTATGCTGCTGTCAATGGGATACACTTGCAGAGGGACACACAGGGAAGCCCTAACACTCAAGAATGCAGTTTTGGGCTTCTTTGCCTAGTTTTTGCAAGTAGCTTCTCAAACAGGCAGGAGAGATGCTGGAGGTTTTCAGTAACCATTCCTTCCTAGAGAAGGAAGGAGCTTCCCAAAGGGCAGGTTGTCATGTTCTCTAGCAGTTGTGCTGCCTTTCCTGTGGACAAAGAGTGAACAGGATGATCTCCTGAACTGATGTGGTACAGGCAGTGCCTGTTTTCAGAGATGCTGAGGGTTGCTTTCATTAGCTGAGGAGAACTCCTGCAACACCAGTCGTGTGAGCACCACAGGACCATGCATAAGGCAGTAACTGGACATGCCAAGCTCAGCACTAGTGAGGTCAGACTGTTAGATGCAGGTGCTGCTGTGACAGGCAGTGTGTCACAGCCAGCCTTTATCCATCAGGCTTTGCACATGGAGACACCCATGGCTGTGCTCTCCTCTCTCCCAACACTGGCAACCATCCTCCTTCCAACAGGAGGTTGGACTAGATCCCTCCCAACCAACGCTCCTGTGATGCTGCTACCAGAATGTACCCAAAAGTGTGTTCATGTTCTGTGTGATTCTGAACAGCAAACTGGGAGATCCAAAGCTCTGTTTCAGTGAAATACTCCAAAAAGCAAATAAGGATATTAGTTCATTTGGAACTCAGCTGGTTCCAAAACTTAGAACGCCAAAAACTTATGAAAGGGCTGGAAAATAAGGGAATGGTGGTGAAACAGTTGAAAATGTCAGATGGTTCTTTCAGGGCTCCCCATCAGGCAGATGGTTCAGGATTTAAACCAGGAGGATAGTTTGAAATAAAAAGGGTGAATGGAGCAACTATTGCCAAGGCAATTAAACTCAGATTGCTCAAATTAAGAAGGAGATAAACACTGCTGACCCGCACTCAGGACTCTGGGATGCTTCTTTGGCAAGCAGAGGCAGGAGCAGGTCTGGTGTCACAGTGAAGCCTGGAGATCAGGGACTTCATAGAGTCATGGAATCACAGAATCGTTTGGGTTGGAAGGACCTTACAGTACATCTTGTTCCACCCCTGCCATGGGCAGGGACATCTCCCACCAGCCCAGGCTCCTCCGAACCCCATCCAGCCTGGCCTGGAACACTTCCAGGGATGGAGCAACCACAGCTTCTTTGGACAACCTGTGCCAGTGGCTCAGCACCAGAGCAGGCAGATGTCTCCCTCATACCTAATCCAAGTCTCTCTTTCAGTTTGAAGCAATTCTCCCTTGTCCTGTCACTACAGTTCCTGATGAAGAGTCCCTCTCTGACAGTTTATTAGTGGTGAGAAATTATTGATAGCACAGCCTCTTCATGTGGTCAGAGTTCTCTCTGCTATCACAGATTATTTCGGTGACTCTTTTGCCATCGTTACTAATCGCTTGAAATGAGTGTGGCAGCAAAGAGAAAAACACATCGCCAAACAAACGAGAATCCTTGAAATGCTTGGAGTTGCTTCTTATCTTCACAGTTTGGCTAACCTTTTGCCTAACAAGCAACAATTTCAAGTCTATTGGTCACATCACCTCCTCAGAGAGATAAAAGACACCCTTTGAAATGGCAGCGCAGACTTGGTGCTCGGGAGAAGCTCTGATGGTGTCAGCCCGGAACGACGAGCTAATGTCTCTTTGATAAAACTGTCTTCACAGAGTTAGGTTTTCTTGCCACGGTGTCAGGAAGAGTTGACGAGACAGACGTGTTATTAAGTGGTAGAAGTAAACAGATGGTAGAGACAAGTAAGAAATTTCAGCTATGACTTTCCAGAAGGTTTCAGCAAAGAGTAACCTCATTTCGATTCCCTACCAGAGATGAAAAGTAAGAGATACTTACCCAAGTGCTGCGTGGTGCAGACACCTTCTGTGTGAGCACAGGGACATGGGACAGGGAGCTGTGGGAAGAGAGACATCCTAGCAGGAACTACTATCAGCACCCCAAGTCCTGTCGTGATAAGCAAGAGTGTCTCTTCCTCCTGCACCGACATCACGTATCACCTTCCATTTAATCTGGAGAAGAGGAGACTGAGGGGAAACCTCACAGCTCTCTACAGCTTCCTCACAAGGGGCAGCACAGGGGCAACAGTGATCTCTGCTCTCTGTGACCAGTGACAGGACCCAAGGGAATGGCATGGAGCTGTGTCAGGGGAGGGTTAGGTTGGATATCAGGACAAAGTTCTTCCCCCAGAGGTGGAGAAGAGTCTGGAGCACAAGGAGCAGCTGAGGAAGCTGGGGAGGCTCAGCCCAGAGAAAAGGAGGCTCAGGGGGGACCTTCTCCCTCTCTACCACTCCCTGACAGGAGGTTATAACCAGGTGGGGATTGATCTCTTCACCAAGGTAAGGAGTAACAGGAGGAGAGGAGAAGGCCTCAGGTTGTACCAGAGGAGGTTTAG